GCGCCGGGAGCCGCTCCGCTGACCGGCCGACCCCGCAGCTGTGGGCGGCACCCGACCCGGTGCCGCTGACCCCCCCGAGGGGATCAGGTGTCAGGGCGCGCCACCTCTTCCTGTGGGTGAGGTGACTAATCCCCCACCCCCTGGAGAGAGCAGGGCCCCCTGCCTGGAACTGCAGCAGGACAGCAGGAAGGAACCTGACAGGGGGCAGCCCACGGCCCCTGCCCGGATTACGCCAAGTTATTTCTGGAAGGAGCTACAAGCTGGGTGTGGTCACCAAGGCCACCACGAGGCTCTTCCCACGGGGGAGGCTCCTCCAGGCCGTGGCTTGGGGCCGCCACCCTCGGGCTCCAGGAGGGTGTGGGGGATGGGCTGTCACCTCTGGGGCGGAGGTATGTGGCCAGAAGAGGCCCCAGTGGGTCAGGGCTGCCCCGGGCCCCTCGAGACCTCACCTCCTGCGGCCTCCGTGGGAGTCTGGCCTTGGGGAGCCCTTGGGGGCTGGGCGAGGGGTTTGTGGCTCTGACAGGGAAAGGGTGCTGCACGCCCACACTTGGAGAGCACAGACTGGGGGCGAGCTTCTGCCCAGGGACAGGGAGGCCAGGTGTTCCCAGAGATGGGGGACGAGAGGGACGCAGGATGCTGGGGAGCCTATGGCCGTGGCAGGCGGGCCAGGTCACAGTCGTTTCCTGACCTGTCCTCTCAGCATCCCCACACTGTCCAGGGACACTGGAATCTGGCGGACTCCCGCCTCCCCCAACCGGCCCTGACCCGTTGGAGAAGGCTGCTGGGTCTGAGGCCAGATCCCCAGGGCACAGCTCCACCGGACGCTGGAGACACAGGGCTGCCTTTGGGGTGCGCCCTTCCAGGTGGGCGAGGTGTCGGGGGACGCCGGTGCGGGACCTGGGCACGCCTCCGCCCAGTGACACAGTGACACAGTGACACAGTGACACGGCCCGTGGACCAGAGGCTGCAGACGACGCGCCCACCTACAACAGAATGGCCAGAAGCCGCCAGGACCACTGCACCCCGGCTCGGCAGAGGGACTCACGACCCCGGACACCGCTAGGAATGTCAACAGGGCGCCGAGAACGACCGTTCCAGAGGGGAACACGCGGGGCACGGAACAGGACCCCACGAAGGAGCGGAGGCGAGGGCACTGCCCAGGCGCGTGTCTGTGAGTCGTCTGACCCACGTGGCCCAGGCGGAGCTGCCTCGGTGTGGTCTGGGGAGGCGCATGGCAGACGCGCTGTGTCAGGGCTGCTGCGACGTCCGGGTCCACGCGACAAAGGGCGCAGCGATGTGGGGGCCGGGGTGCACGCTGGCGGGCGTAGCACAGCAGCCCCCGTGCGCCGGAGGGGCTCCTGCCCGCTCAGCGGCCTGGCGGGACCGGGCACAGGTGGGCAGGCACACGCATGACTCGGAACAGAGCCACAGGGGAATAGGGCAAAAAGGGCGACTCGAGCGGCTGAGGTGGGAGATTGTGGCGTCCGCGGGTGGGGGTCCCAGTCTGTGCGGCTGCAGGCGTGGCTGAGGGGGGCCAGGACAGGCGGACAGGTGGCCGAGGTGGGCGTCGGGGTCAGCGAGGACCGGGCCTCAGCTCTGAGTGAGGGGGCCCTGGGGGTGTGGACAGAAGCGGTCCGGCTCAGCCTTGTCCTTCAGACCCCCCGCTGCCGGAAGAAGGTGGAGACCAGCGGGGAGCGAGGCGGGGTCAGACGTAAAGGTGACAGGTCAGCCAATGCACAGGGGGAAAGAGGGCGGCTGAGGGA